TAAAACTAAATCCCTACTTCACACTCACTTTTAGTAACTGGATTTTCTGTTAATACTCTGTCTGAGTACTTATACTAATGATCATGACAAGTAGCTTGAAAGTTCAAATGAAAGCCCTGGCCAGGCAGCTTGTTTGGAGCATTATCCCAACACATCAAGGTGTGGGTTCGATCCCCCATCAGGGAACATATAGGAATCAACCAATGAATGCACAGAAAAGTGGAACAACAAATGGATGTTTGTCTCTCTGTCTCTGTCTGTCTATCCCCCCACTACCAAAACCAATAAATAAGAAAATTAAAAAATTTTAAAAGCTCAAATGAAAAAAACTATAAGACAATATAAATATATCTGTACCTGTGGATGGAAAAGGGACCACCGACTAAAACTGACCATCTCAGGGGAAACTTCCACGGTGACCTTACAAACTCAGACACCAACGGTAATCGCATGGGACAGTCTGAACATAAAAATTCCTCACCAAACTCGAGTCCTGGTGGATAGTCACATCCTAGGCCTGCAGCTTCCTGACAAAGGTCACCCTTTACCTGAACTGACCCTCTCCAGTCTTTTTGCATCTAAGATAACACACCTTTGAAATCTCAGGTAATCTCATTTGCCAGACCCCTCCAGGCACAACCACACCCAAGTAGAGACCTCACTACTCCGCACCACCCCATACCATCTCTAAGTGATATAAAGTTTCATTAGTAACTCATCCTCTGCCCCCAATGTAAAAAGTATGTCTCTCTCTATTTTACTTTTTATCCAATCTCAGAGATTTTCAATTTGCTTTCTCCCACCTCTTTAACCTACCCCATTGGATTTCATGTAACCCTCCTCACTACTCCTCCTCTGATTCTAATGCATAAAATAACCTGCAAAACTGCCATCCTGTGGAGCATTTTCTCAATCCATTGAGATTTTGCTTCCCAGCAATTGTCTTCAGTTTGGTTCAAGTAAACTCATAAAAATCTCTACAGGTTTGGACATTTCTTACGTTGGCATATTAAATCTCTGGTTTGGAGATGACTCTAGTCATAATAATTAAACCAATCACAGTAGAACTTTTTCAATCTATAATTTAACAAAAATTTGAAACATTTAATATGAAAAATAACTTGTGACCAAAATTAAGTGCAAAATAAAATCTGGAAAGTATTTGAAGCCAATATGGCAAGCCCTAATGCTCTTTACTCTTTGAAAAACCTCACAAATTGGTGAGACACAAGAAGAATGAACTCCAACCTGGTGGACAAGGATGGTTTGCAACTGCCAGCTCCTCACCCAGTTCAGAGCAGGGTACCTATGGGACTAGGGCTGACATCTCTAAACCACACATGGGGTGATGAAGAGGAAACATGCAAATGGGCCCTCAGAAAAAGTTAAAAACCATCAGAGGAAATGGGGTGCCACAACAGACCCAACATATAGAAGAATTCATACCCGAAGAACTAGAAACTTAAAAAATATGAAAAGAACATTAAATACAAACTAGGTTGAAATCCTCCAAGAGAAAAATGAAGGAATAGCATCCATGAAGCAAAGAGCAAAACAGGAAAACATGAAAAAGAATCAACTAGAAATGAAGCATATACTGCTGCTTGGAATATATCCTTATAATCCTGAAACTTATGCACCCCTATATTTATAGCAGTGCTATTTACAATAGCCAAGTGCTGGAAGCAGCCTAAGTGCCCATCAGTAAATGAGTGGATCAAAAAAATAAGGTACATTTACACAATGGAATGCTACAGAGCAGAAAGAAAGAAGGAGCTCCTACTCTTTTTGACAGCATGGATGGAACTGGAGAGTATTAAGCTAAATGAAATAAGCCAGTCAGTGAAAGACAAATACCATATGAACTCACCTATAAGAGGAATCTAAAGAACAAAATAAACTAACAAACAAAATAGAACCACAAGCATGGAAATGTAAAACAGATTTACAGTGCCCAGAGGGGAGGTTGGAAGAATGATAATGGAGGAAAGAAGGGGAAGGGACTAGTCAAAGAACATGTATGAGTGACCCACGGACATGGACAACAGTGTGGGGGTGGACTGAGGGAGCGGGGGGTGGGATGGGTAGAGGAGAGCCAAGGGGGAAAAACTGGGACAACAGTAATAGAATAACAATTAAAAAATGATTTAAAAAAAGAAATGAAGCATATAGTCACTGACATTTTTTAAAAAGACACTTGACAAGTTATTTATACAAGAAACATGAAAATGAATTGCCAAAACAGACCCATGCTAAAATAAAACCAAAAGTAGTGAAAAATCAGAGAAAGACATATACTGTATGGTCTCACATATGTGGAATCTAAAACAGCTGAAACATAAACAGAGCAGAATGACGGTTACCAGGGGCAGGAGGAGAGAAATGGAGAGATCAGTCAAAAGTACAGACTTCCAGTTACGAGACAAATAATTTCTGGGGGTGTAATGTACAGCATGATGATTATAGTTAATAATACTGTATTATATACTTGAAAGTTACTAAGAATGAAGCTCTTAAATGTTCTACACACACACACACACACACACACACACACAATGGTATATAATGTAAGGGGATGGAGGTGTTAATATTTTGCTGGTAACCACTTCACAGTATATAAATGTATCAGGTCAATACGTTGTACACCTTAAACTTACACAAGTTATATGTCAATTATATCTCAATAAAGCTGTAAAAAATAAATATTTTTAAAGAAAGAAATATCTTTAAAAGAGAAACAAACAAACAACCAACCAAAAAAAAACAAGATGCCCTAAATGATATGGAAACAGTTGCAAAGAAAATTGGGGTCATTTGGAATCTACCAGTCTCCAAGAACGCACCATTAACAAATTGAGAGATAGGAATATGCAAATCTAATAAATTCTTTCCCCAGAAAAGTCACATATGTTCCTACATACACAGTCATAAGCAATTTCAGGAGGTTCCCAGATTCCTTGAAACCCAACTTCCACCCTAGCATTCTGAATACAAAATATCTTAAGATCAGAAATCTGATCCACTCAATATATACAAGATTCTGGAAACAAATGTTAAATTTGTGCTAGAATCAAGTCAAAGAGAAGCCAAACCAATATAAACCAATTAAATCTGATCAAGAAATGAAATTCACAAAGAAAGTATCCCAAAATCCTGGTAAACATTGTTTCAAAACTCAGGTAAGATTGAGAAAATCAATAATTATTCATAGCAAATAAAAGAACCCTAGCGTGTATTAAACTTGGTTAATTTTAACATAATTATCATTTTAGATGCAGTTATTATTTTACAGTTCATACTAGTGTCACAAAATGTGACTAAAGAAAAGTTTGCAATGAGCAAAAAAAAAAACTTTTTAAAATAATGTTAAATGATCCATATGGGGATACAAGGTCAGTGGAATCTGAAAGAAGCTAAATTGCTCTGAATTAGAAAAGGATGAGATATAAAGAAGCCCAGTGGGAAAAAAATCTAGGGAAATTGCCTAAATCTAGAGAAATTTGGGGGAATTTTTGAAACTAAGCTGGAAAAGAGCAATAAAAAAAATCAGTGGCCAAAACATAATGACTTGGGGAGAGTGGAACACAACTGTCTGGGTGAAGGACACTGTAACCTATATAATGCAGTCCCACAATATCTCCAGTCAAATTTACATGTTATTTTTTAAAACGAGACTGGGAATAGGAGAAGCAAGGAAGTACATAGTTCTCCATAAAGGCTGACCTAAAGTAATAACAAAGAAGACATGGAAAGCTAGCCACAATCTGTACTACTCTAGAAGGATTCGAATTTGCCTTTTACAATGAGCCAAAGCAGAAATGTTTAGTCCTCATCAAAACTTCAGTGGATTAACAATAAAAAAAAGAAAAACAGCTCTGAAAACATGAGAATCTGAAACCAAAAAATATTCCTTAAAATAGATTTGAAATATTTTACACCATAAAATTCAAATGACATACGGAGTATCTTCTGTTTAAGGAAGCTAAAATCTTTGGAAGGTAAAATGATGACTTCTCTGAAGATCCCCAGTGAGAATTTGGAAATAAAATTGTGTCTCTTGAACATTTTTTAATGTGCTTTAATAGACTTCAGGATTAAGATTCTTTCAGGGCATATATTTCCACAGGTTCTCTTCAAGCTGAAGTGGAGAGAAATTCTCTTGGCTAAAGACCTTGAAATATTTAGAATCATGTATTTATCTTCTTTGAGTATTTTCATGTTAGGTTGTCTTGAAGTTCACAATTTTATAAGAATAGTGCCTGGTTTGAAATAGTGTATCTGAATCACGACAGACCAGGATCCTATAAAATACACTCACGTGGCAACCATGGGGAAAGGCCTGTTCTGTTTTTGTTGTTGTTAGTTGTTTTTTTTTTTTCTTTTTTTAAAGAAATCTTCATTTGATGCACACAATTTCCACTTGGAAACGTAAGTGTGTGTGAGCCTGTCTCCACATGCCATCTCTCTGATACGATGCTAGAGCATGCATGCATGAATTGTTGTTTCCCCACAAAACACATTTCCTTGAGGGAAGAAACTGAAGGATGAGTTTTCAGTCTTTGCAGTCCACCTACAAAGGCTTTCCCAGAGTGAAACTCTATGTGCTAGAACGTTCTATTCCTAAAAGCAGCAAACATGAAAATGTCTGGTGTAGAATGGTGTAGTCATTTAGGCCTTTACTGGAGAAAATGCTTTCTTCATATTCATGAAATAAACTAAAATACATTTTGAATCAACATTTTAAGATTTCATTATATTTAAAGCACAAAAGCAGAGAAACTACATGTACTAAAATCTTGACTGATAAATATAAGTAGTAGATATGTTCTATAAAATTTTCAATAAGTATTCCTAAAACATACTTAGAAAATTATATCATTGAGAAAAAACATATGCAATTAATCCTAAATATTTGCCAAAATAAAGGCTAAAGAAATCAAAAGTAAAAATGTTCAATACATTGAACTTAAAATAATAAATGATTTTCAAAAGGCACTCACCAATCACAATCGAAGACTCGCAATGATAATAACCATTACTTTGCTTTTTCTTCAACATGGAACAGAGATCAATGCAATGCACCATTTCTTCTCCAAATCTGTGACTGATAAATTTTTCATATAATTTTGGGTCTATTTTTCTCACTCCCTTGAAATGACAAAACAAAATTACATCAATCAATCATTTCATCTAGCCAGCCAGTTCATATTTATATCACTTTTTTAGAATCTGACATTACATTTTGGTACACAGTACCGCCTACAGGCATTTGAAAATGGATACCACAAAACTGTTATAAAGCTGTTTTTAAAGTCTCTTGGCCTAGGATGAGTTGTATTAAAAAATAATTAAAGAATATTGTGTTATGCCCTGGCCAGTGTGGCTCAGTGGATTGAGTGCCAGACTGTGAACCAAAGGGTCACCAGTTCAATTCCCAGGCAGGGCACAGGCCTGGGTTGCAGGTCAGGTCCCCAGTAGGGGGCGATCAAGAAGCAACCACACACTGATATTTCTATCCCTCTCTCCCTCTCTTCCCCCTCTCTAAGAATAAATAAAATCTTTTAAAAAAGGAATATTGTGTTTAAATTTGCCAATATTCAAAACTTCAAATACTTTGAGCTTTAGAAGTAATGAAGTATATCATGTTGAAATTTGCGGTATCAAGAAAAGAATAATTATCTCCAACAACAATGGAGAAATGGATGAATTTTGAAAAGTGATAGGATTTTAACATTTTAGAGTATATAACAGTTTTAGTAAGATGGATGCTATTTTTAAACTCCTTAAGTAAGAATTATATGAAACACCACTAAAGGTTATTTGAGTTGGGCAGAGCATCGGTTTTAAGCACTTCCAAGTGCTTCTCTGCCTGCCCCTCATTCTCAGTGTCCTTCATAGCAGAAAGAAGACTGGTTGAAAAATCACTCTGAGATGCCCTTGATACCTCTGCAGTTTCCCGAAACAGGAAAAATTACATTCCCATCCCCTTATCATACAAGTGTTCCTGCACCCAGTCTTACATGTCTCCAAACACGGTCCATAATGTAAAGGTGCAATACTTTCCTTCTAATTTATAATTTTTTAATATTACATTGGCAATACTTGTAATGTGTTAAAAATTTAAAAATATGATGAATCTAGACAGAAATAAAAATCATTCATGATCCTATTTATATGAAATCCATTATTAACACTGGAGTGTATATCCTTTAAATCTTTTCTAAGCATATATATTATTTTCAGACTATATTTATATAAATCTTACTACAAAGTGTAAATAGTATATTGACCTTTTTAGTCACAAAAACTTATTACAAATAATGTAAATAGATATAAAAACAAAAAATTAAAAATTAAATCACTCCAAATTGCTACTACTATAATTTTGCTATGTATTTTATCTTCCTTTGCAAAACAAAGTACTTTTTATTTCTTTATAGGAATGTGATTATGCTATAAGAACTATTTAATAACCAGCTATTTTGATAGTTCTCCAAAGGGTTCCCATTTCTCTCAAGGAGTCAAATTCCCAGAACAGCCTGCAAGGTCCTGTTCTGTCCTCTCCAAACTTCTTGGGTCTGGTCTGCTAGTACTCTCCCCTGTGCCTCTCCAGCCTCCCTGGCCGCTTTGCTGTTCCTTGAACACGACAGGCACAAGCCCACCCCAAAGCCTTTGTACTACCTGCTCCCTCTCCCTGGAATGTTCTTCTCCCAGATATCCTTACAGCCCATCTCCCAACTCCGTTAACTCCTTGCTTAAAGGAGTTAATTTGTACTATCCATTTAATTTGTACTCCCACCCCCAAATCCTCTCTACCCTTCTCTCTTCATATATACATTTGTATATATTTTTCCATAGCACTTACCATCTATGTAACCATTACATAACATACTATGTAATTTACTTTGTTATGCTGATTTTTTATTATCTGTCATTATCTATCCCCCTCCATTAGAATGTCAGCTCCACACAGAAAAGGATTTTCGTCTGATTTTTAGTCACTGAATATCCCCAGTGCCTGGAACAGTGCTTGACATAGAGCAGTGGTCAATAAATAACTGTCACGAGTGCAAAGGAGGATAAAGCTGCAAGAAGAGGATTGCTCAGTATCAAACACTATTCATTCAGAGCCTGATAACAATGAGTGCAAGTGGCTTTCTTTCCATTTGGTGAGTAGAATGCCACAGCAGAGCATTATGCTGAGTAACACTGAGGAGCAGTCAGAATCCGAGTTCAACTCCAGGCTCTCCATCTTTCAGCCATGTGCTTTGCTTCAGTTGCTCAGCTATAACATGAGGTTAGCAATAGTACCTACCTCGAAGTGTTATATGGACTACAGAAGTGAATTTATGAAAGTGCTCACACCAGTGAAATGCAGTAAATGCCACTGTGTATGTGTGGGAGGGTATGTGTTTATCATTAGTGAACTTTAGGGAATAACTCCAGTAGAGGTAAGATTTAAAAAATTTTTAAAGACTGAGTAAATGGAAACTGACCATTCTTTTTTGTCATTTAAATGTGTGTGGTCGAGGGAGGTTTGTAGGGGACTGTGTGTGTTTGGCCGGTGGGGGGGGGGGGGGCCGGTATCAGACCAGACCCTTAGACCAGAGGGAAGCAAGTGACAGCAGAAAAAGGACTTTTAGATATCAACGCCAGCTGCACTGGCTAGCCATTCTAACCCCCATTTCAGTTTGAAAGATATCATTTTTTTAAGGTAAGAAATAAGGAAAACATAAGACAGACTCTTATCTGTTAGGTGAATTAATTTAATTTTAGCAAAAAGTAGGAACCAACTATTTTGTAGGAATTGTTCAGAGATAACTCCCAACATGAGCAGTAAAATGAAATTAGTTCTTCAACTCAATTTAGAGAGTGAGCTGAGGTTCAAAGAGGCATGAGTCCTGGGAGGCACTGAAATTATAAGTGCTTATCAGAAAACATCATCAATAATAATGTATAGAGAGACATAATGTGCTTTATCTGATATATAATATTAACATGCTCCTTGTTCTCCAGGGAGGTTTTTGTTTGGCAATACATTTTTTTTTTCAGGCCCTTTGTCCCATGCCAACATATTTTCTTCTAGTAACAGTTACAGCTGAATTTGACTCTGCATCCAGCTGTAGCAGACGGTATTTCTCTTTCATAGTAAAATAAATACCTAGTATTCTAAGAAAATAAATGAGTATATCAAAGTTGGATATCACTTAGAACAAGGGTACGAAATCTCCTATGTTATGAACAGATCAATGGGTTGCTTAAATAGCCCCAAAGACATAATACTGCAAGGTTATATTTTAAAGCTAAAAAGGCTCAGTGATGGCATTATTTTCAGGTTTTGAACCCCAAAATTATTTTCTGCTTTCCTTCTTCATAGGCCAGAGTACTTGTCATTTAAGACTGAGGTACACCATATTAGGAGAGCTCAAAGAAAACCACAAAAATGGTTAAAGGCAGGAAAATGTGACCTATGCAAAGGTTAAGAGATTTGGGGTTACTTCAAATGCAGAGAAACAATCTATAGGGTACTTTCAATAAAACTATGCCAAGGGTGCTTCAACACCTCAGAATTCTGCATACGTCTGATTAATTGTCTAGTAACTTTTTTGAAAATTATTTTGCCTTGGATCTAACATGGACAAGGTCTATTCTTCACATTTATAACTGTACCAATATCGATTATACAACATAATATTGAAAGAGAAAACAGGAAGTTAAATACAGGGCATCAGACTTTGAAACAATAAATTAGTGGCAATAAACCTCAGACAGAAAGCTTTTCAAGGCTGTGTTTATTAATCATTAGAAACGACTGAAGTTTTACTTCCCATTAGCCTAGATTTGGTCACAGTTTAGGGAAAATTATCAGTGTATTCAAAGCATTTGATAACCTTTAATACAATGTACCATGAAACCCCAAGGAACTTTACTCTTGATTGTAACTTGACACCCAAACAACCAATACAGGGAAAAGGCCACTGAGAGCATGATGAGTATTTTTAGAATCATCTAAATGCTGCATCTGACAAGTAATGGGAATTATTTACTGAGGAAGCACTCACCATATCGTTTCCATTTAGCTAAATGGTGTATATCATTTAATATGGACAGAAGAGGGCTCAGACTTATATTACTCTGCAGCCAATTCTATTTCCAATATAGAAACTGAAGCACCATGAAATATGAAAATTCACATTAGTTAACAATCTGAATGTGAACATCATTCATTTAAGGTTCTGAAAGATAAACTACTGATTATTCTTCTTCAATTTCTATGAAAAACTTATTACCATCAAAGGAAAGATGAAATGTCAGTTTTATTAAGATTAAGGCTTTTTGTATAACAGAAGGTAACTTCTTTTTTTTAATATTTTACTTATTTAATTTTAGACAGAGGGGAAGGGAGGGAGAGAAGCACCAATGTGTGGTTGCCTCTTGTGTGTCCCCTAGTGGGGACCTGGACCACAGCCCAGCCATGTGCCCTGACTGGGAATCAAACTGGTGATTCTTTGGTTCACGGGCCAGTGCTCAATCCACTGAGCTACACCAGCCAGGTCGCAAAGCTAATTTCTTATAGTGACTTTATAATAATCACAGTTTCCATGATGAAAATACAAATAGGCTGCATATTAGACAAAGAAATTATGTGTCCTACTGATGGTAAGCTTGATATTCCTAGAGCTCTACTGTGTTTTCCAATCGTTTATTCCTGTCATGCAGTGGCTATAAAAGAAATGTATACCTTGATTTGAAACCAAAATTCAGAAGTTAAATTAAGAGTCAACCCAAACTGGCTTGTCATCTTGGACATCAACTGGTTAAGGAGAAATGGTAATTTTTTACATTCATTTTCCTGAGTACAATAAGGTTACATACCTTTAGTGGTATTAGTTAAAAAAACTAAAGTCATTTTTAAAGGTCACTGTTCCTAGTGAAAAGTTACATATTAGTGACTCAAAGTTATCAAAAGATTATATATTGACATGGGGCTTCTTTGAAGCAAATCTTATTTTATAATTCTTTTTCTCTTTCTTAAACAACTGAAATTTACTTTCTCACAGTTCTGGAGGCTGGGAGGCTGGGACCGAGGAGCCAGCACACTTGGCCTTCCCCAGAGGCCGCTCTCCTTGGCTTGCAGAGGGCCACCT